CACCGTGACTGTTGTGCTTAAAAAGTGTCATGAAGAAGAACCCCTATCTCGGTGTATTACCTGTAGTGTTATCTTCAAAAAATCATTAAAAAATAAGGAAAAGTTCCATAGCCCAAAGCAAGGTTGTATAAGGTGAGGGGGGCTGTCTGGTGTGTAAAACACTAAGCATTGTGGGTGCTGTGGTTTAAATGCTATTGGTTTGTGAACTGAATACCCCTATCCCAGTACACTGTGCCATGTTAAATAAAAGCACTTGAAAAAGAGATTCAGAACACAAAGCTGTGTCAGTGTTCTGTGTAAAAAAATAGGTTTGAACATCATGGGAGCTGTTTTTAATAAGCTGCTGAGTAAAGAATATTTGAATCTTTCTGCTGTCAGCAGTATTGTGAATATAGTTGACACTTACCTGAATGAAAACAGGACATAAAGAAAGGGTTTCAGAAATCCAACAAAGCTGTATTCCCGTTCTTACAGTCTGGGTAATTGGAGAAATTGGTTCTGCTTTCTTTGGTGATATACAGGTTTTTCGCACGAAGCCGTATTGAGCAGTATTTCTTGCGTTTTGAATCTGTGTACACAGCGGTCCCCCTGGGATCCAGTTAGTGCATAATTATGCATCAATGAAAAAACTGAGGTTTAAAAAAAGATTATTGGTTCACTGATAGTTTGATGTAGAGGCTGTGGAAATTTCCACAAGTCGTGGTCTTTAAAATGCATTTGGTTTGAAGGCGTTCTGTGCTTCCATTGCGAAGATATGGATAAAAGAATATTCATGCGTGGTCAAAAAAAGTCATAAAAACGACAAATTGAAGGATGAGAAAATATTCACAATGTATTTTATACACAAAGCAAGTGTAAGAGGTTTAGTCAAAACGCTACAGGCGTGCCAAAATCATTTTCGAACTTCAAGCTAACTGTACCCCAGTGTCTGTGTGCCTGTGTGTGGTTTGTGACAGAGAGAGATTTAACTGCATGTTGCTTTGTATTCAGTTAGAAAGTAGATCTCTCTTGTATGGCCTCTGTAGGCATATTAAGTTTGGTGCTTAGCAGCAGTCTTGAGGTTTTATGCAAAGCTGTAATAATATCTTTGGAACATCGAGATACATTTTTGTCTTTATTTCTTTTGAACATTTGACTATACAAGGTCAGAACACCTATTAAGATCTGTCCTAGTATAATTAGTAAATGTAAAGGATACAAATGATGCACATAAAATTATTCTGCTTTTACAAAAAGACTGTAATATTGCAGTTTGTACTACATGTATTGTAGTACAATTCTTGTGAATTTCTGAAGAAAAGCCTTTTTGTGTGATTAAAACACGGAAGATTCTAGAGGGTAAGAAGTCCATTTAGGTAAGGAGAGAATAGCACTAGAGAGTCCTTATTTGTCTTGTAAAAGTGTATGATGGGACAAAGCAGAACAAACACACAGAGATGACAGATACCACGCAGTCCAACTTCCCCAGTCTCTGTTTGGACTGTATTAAAAGTACAATAAATGTTCCACTCAGTTCAGTATCAGCTCACCAAGCCCCTTTCTTTGCTCCTTGCCTCCAGGAAGTAAAAGTCTCAGCACAGTATCTTCATTCTGCTGCCAGTGTCTTTCTTGCTCTGCAGTTTCTAAACCAATAATTCACCTCCTGTATTGTGCAGGGGCTTGTGGGAAGACAAGAGACAGCCTCCTCCATTCAGGCTCAGATCTTTTTATTCTTTTATTTAGCTAATCCGCCTCATGGGGTTTTCCCATAGTCTAGGTCAGGGGCATCTGTGTCCAGTAGATTATTAGGAGGAAACTGTTTTTAGAACTGTGAGTGGGCAGACCTTCATGTGTCATGGGCTCTATTACTTCTTTGTCTGCTTTCTTGCACACACCCCCACCCAAGCTGTGGTCCAAAGTGGTGCAGCAACCCCGCACACCTTCATGCTTCAGTAACTAAGGTGTGGTAATTGCTTCGTGTCAGGACAGGACAACCAATGTGTTCTTAAACTGTTCCTTAATGTTTCCTGCCCCATTGTCTGCATTAGAAAACTTTAAAACTTTGGGGGGCATACATTGACATAATCCTGGCCATTAATACAAGTTAATTAATCACATCCTGTTCCTCATTTAATGGTTTGCATTCTTTGCCACATACACAACACATCTAAAGTAGCTACAATATAACAGCTGTACCACAGCAGCATATTTGGCATTGTTTGTTGCAGCAAATGCATCAAAAACAATGCAGTGAAAAAATATTTGCCCCATTCCTGATTTCCTCTGTTATTACAAAATTTACACACTGAATGTTTTCAGGTCTTCAACCAAAATCTAATATTAGATTAAGGGAACCTTAGTAAACCAATGACATTTTTTAATTTATTTAACAAAGTTATCCAACACCAATTTAATAATTAATAAGGGGATAATTTAGAGTCAGCTGATTGAACACAGCCAGGCTTGATTCAGCCAGGCCTGCTCAATCTAAATTATTTTATTTTGACCCTTACCACTTCGGAGTCAAGTTGCCAGCACAAAGATTCAACAATCACATTATGGCATGATCAAAGGAAATTCCTGAAAAGATAAAAAAAAGTTGTTGATATCTATCAGTCTGGAAAGGGTTACAAAGCAATTTCTAAGGCTCTGAGACTCCACTGAACCACAGTGAGAGCCATGATCTCCAAATGTACACTTGGAACAGTAGTGAATCTTCCCAGGAGTGGCCGACCTGCCAAAAGTTCTCCAGAGTAAATTTATCCAGGAAGTCACAAAGGATCCTAAAAAAACATCCAAAGAACTGCAGGCTTCTCTTGCCTCAGCTAAGGTCAGTGTTCATGACTCCACAATCATAAAGAGATTGGGCAAAAATGGGTTTCATGGGAGAGTAGCAAGGCGGAAACCATTGCTAACCAAGAAGAACATAATTGGTCATCTCTCATTTGCCAAGAAACACCTGGATGATCCCCAAGCCTTTTGGGAGAATGTTCTATGGACAGATGAGTCAAAAGTGGAACCTTTTGGATGACATGGGTCCCATTATGTCTGGTGTAAAGCAAACACAGCATTCCACAGTAAGAACATCATACCAACAGTCAAACATGGTGGTGTTAGTGTGATGGTGTGGGGATGGTGTGGGGACCTGAATGACTTGCCATAATTGAAGGAACCATGAATTCTGCTCTGTATCAGAAAATTCTTAAGGATGATGTCCGGTCATCTGTCTGTGAGCTGAAACTAAAGCGTAGTTGGGTCATGCAGCAAGACAATGATCCAAAACACAAAAGCAAGTCCACATCAGAATGGCTGAAAAGAACCAAAATTAAAGTTTTGGAGTGGCCTAGTCAAAGTTCAGACCTAAACCCAATAAGAGATGCTGTGGCAGGACCTGAAATGTAGTTATCTACAAAGCAGTTCAAGGGGAGAAGCAGGGATTAGTAAAGTAGCGAAAGGGAACTCAAGTGGCCGATTGGGTTGACTGACTTGTACCTGGTTACTGAAGTATCCACAGCAAAGTGGATCGGGTTAGACGAGCATAGAAGGAGATAGGCTTCCTGGAAGAAGCTATTGGAAGTGCTGTCTGGATTCCACGAAGTGCAAGATGTAGTGCTGGAATAGAAAGCAGTGAGGATATTAAAGAGACTGAACCATGAGGCAGAACTGAATCCCAGAGGTAAGATCCTGTAGCATTTGGAAAAAAGCTGGGTGGAAATTTGATTCTGGACGAAAGAAGATTGTTGAACTCCGGAACTTGAAGAGGAAAAAAGCTGTAATGGGCATCAGCATGTGGGATTTGGGTAACTGTGAACCATAAAGTGTGTTTTTTTGCAGCATTGGAAAGGCCAAGGAGGTGTTCATCGCCAGAGCTGAAGGAAATCCAGGTGAGATGGTGAAGGAGGCTTGAAATTGGGGAGAAGAGGTTCTTCCTTTATCGGTAATGGAAGTGGTGGATTTGATATATAAAAAAAATATTGATTACCCGTCCTTTGGTGTCCCCAGACATGATGGTAGCAAGAATAGGGTAGAGTTCCAGAAGGACCTGATGATCATACAAGGGGAGAGCGATCCTGAATATGAGAGGGTGAGAAGATACAAAAAAGCATTCAGCATTGAATACTACTGCAAAACTGATAGCAGAACCATTAGTGAAAAGAGACAGGTCATACAGAGTAGAATATCAATTATTGTAGAACAGAGAGGCAGTTCCAGTGGCAGAGTAAAAGACCCACATTCTGATATCCTTCTGATAGTCAGCTGATAAGCTAATGTGGGCATTGAGAGATTGACAGTTGTAGAAAGCAAGAAGATGGGAGAAAGGTTTGGTATAATGTGAATAATGTCATTTTAATGCCCCACCTAGGATAGCAAGTTGCATTTAGTAATATGTTTAGAAAATCTGAAAGTGAAAGAGGAGGGAGCAAATAGAGACAGTTTGTCAGGAGGAAAGTGAGTTGCAAATTTAACCATTTCTAAAGTGATAAGGCTTTCTGTTGGAAAGCTTATGATAAGCAATACCAAAAGGGTTTGACCCAGTATGACTGAGGAGGCTCTTGGAAGGAGTCAATGAGAAAACCTTTTGGAGCTCAGCTGGGATCAAGAAGGCAATCGTCTCAGGCTTAGCAGTAGAAGAAGGGAGATTGGAACAAGAATAAGATGGAATTGAAAACAAGCCAGTAGAAGCATTTTGAAGACCATCTAGAAGGTAGTTAACAAGAGGGGAGGGAAGATCCTCAAGGGGATGTTCTAGGGTGGGAATACAAATGGGTGTATGAACTTGGAAGAAAGAAGAGAATCATTTTGGAGCAGTGGGACAGATGAGTCTACAGTGGGCCAGACCACAACGTCATGAATATGCAAATAGGTACACGGCTTCACAAAGAACCAACTTAGTAAACAAAGATCAGCTGTAGTAGTCCACTGCTGGCACTTGAGAAGGTGGAAAGAACAGATGACATTCCAGAAAATAGAGAATTTCAGAATAAATTTGCCCAGAGTTAAACTTGAGAAGATGTGTATCCCAGTATTCAGAGCAAAGGTGATATCTCCAGATTCCACTACTGAGTAATTGCAATTAGCTGTCAATTTTATTCTATAAGACATCTTCACATTCATGGATTTGGCAATGGAAACGAGGAGGTAAAATGAGGATGCCCTGTGAGCAGCACAGAATCTAAGGCAGTAGCTTTGCTGAGGGTGAAATCTGACACGGAGTTGGGTATAAGGGGAGACAGGCAGGGCTGAAGCAAAAGGCGGAGCTGAAAGGAGAGAAGTTGAAATTTAAGCAGATATGACTTAATGCTGGCTACAGAGCAACAAGGGGATTCAAAGATCTGAGGAACCTGCTGGGAAATTTGAAGATAAATATGATCTACTAGAGAGCTCGGTGGCTGTGCAGGAGGAGAAGGCAGAACTGGACAGCCAAGGGAAAGAGGAGGAGCTGCCCATTTTGCAGAAGCCAGAGCTGAGGAATCAATAGTGGAGGGAGAAGGAAGAACTGTTTCATCCGGGATGGAATCATATAAGAGTAGAGAAAAAATATCAAAATAGGAATAGAATACCTGTTGAAGAGCAATTTAAGGAGCTTTGAAAGAGGCTGGTCCTTTAAAAGACAAGACAGTGAATCCGTGGTGGTGGAGCACCGTAACGCAGGAGGCTGGAAAGGAGAAGAAATGTCAGCAAGGTGGATTAATTTGGATCCAAGGAGGTCAACGAACAAACAAGAAAATGAACAACTGGGGAGTCTTCATGGTGTTGAGGGAAAGAAAGGTGGTCTGAGGATGGCAGAGAATAGGCATGCGATCCATTACAGGTCTAACGCTCTGAACTCAAAATTCTTGAATTCAAAACTTAATATGTGTGGTTAGGGTTTAAATACAAAGGGGGAAACTGAATGATAGAGGAAGGGGCGGAGCACCCTCAGCTTCTCCCCTAGAACTCCACCTATTCCCATTTTTTTCTCAAAATCCTACCAATGTTTCTGAATTAAAGCAGTTCTGTGAGGAAGAGTGGGCTAAAATACTTCTACAGCGATGTGAAAGACTGATATTGAATTATAGGCAGTGTTTGGTTGCAGTCACTGCAGCTAAAGGTGGTGCAGCCAGTTATTTAGTGTTGGATATACAATTATTTTTTCACACAGGAATATGGGTGTTGGATTACTTTGTTTATTAAATAAATGAAATATCATAATAAAAATATATATTTGTTATTTCTTCACTCACATTCTCCTTATCTGATATTAGATTTTGTCTAAAGATTTGAAAACATCCATTCTGACATATATGCAATAATAGAAGAAATCAGGATGGGGGCAAATACTTTTTCATGGCACTGCAACTATTACATTCACCTTTTTAATTATATACTCTATATATTTACTATTTAATTTATTTAAAAAAATACTTTTTTATTCTAAAAGCTATTACTGCCTCAAGAGCACTCGGACTAGGAGACTGAATTTTAATATTTCTTGAATATTTTAAAGTTATAAAATTCTTAATGTATTTCAGCTGTGCTATTAGGCTTTTACAGGTGAGAATAAAAAGCTGAATATAAGCAGCTATGTGCTTACACATTGAATAATGTACAGATAAATAAGTAATATATTATTGATAATTAAATTACAGCACAATGTTACTGTGTATGGATCTAAAATATAAACTAAAAGGAACCAAACATGGGCTAAATTGATGTCAAAAGAAATTCGTATCTTATATGTTATTAGTATCAAATAATTTGTTACTTAAATAAAAGCAGAACATGTTTTGACTTTTGTTATAGCCAAGATTTGTTTTTCCTTACAGCAAACCACGAACAAAAAACAACTCAAATCAGTCAACACTTTGGATTTCAAAGATGCCGAAGAATGAAAACAACATGGAAATGTGAAAATTGATGGAACTGGTGGGAAATTGAAAGGCTAGATTCCGATGTCCCATTCTATTATCCTGTGCTTAGGCTCATTGAAATGTATAAATATGCCCACAAAGCAAAGGAGTCCTTTGTGTTCCCCATCTGATCAGTTGCTTCATTCATTAGAACTTTTTAAGTAGAAAATATATAATTTCACCAAGCAGGGAGAATGATTGAATTTGTATAGATGTGATTATATTTGTCCATAAAATGTCCTGTAAAGTGCTCATGGATGCAAATTATTTATCCTTGTAACTTCTTGGCTGTAATAAGGTTTTGGGCGAAAGAGCACTATGAACAATACAGATCCAGAATGCATGCCGAATAATAGAGAAAATTGCAGTGTGCATACCACAGCACACCACACCCCACCACACCACACTTTTTAAAAATATTTGGTTGTGGGGCTGCACTATTTTGTCAAACCACCAGGTGGCAGAGTAAATGCTTAACATGGTGTGTAGATGCATTTGAGCTGCTGCCAGAAATCACCTGGTTATGAATCCCGGTCAATGCTGAGCCACTTGAGACAATCTTTTTCCAACTGATAGAATTTAGACTTTTAATAGAATTTATTTAATGAAAGTTTGGGAGGGATGACAACAACCACGCTCAATCATTCCCAGCCGTCAGTGATTAGCAATCACTCCCTTCGTCCTTCGTCCACAGAACGCTATACATACCAAATGCGAGGGAGAGAGATATCACGTGCGACTTGTGCATATTCGGGTTAGCCTTTCGCGTTGCACAAGCCCGTGCTTTTTTCCCTTGCGTTTCGATCACCCTCGGACCCGTAAATTTTCTGCTCCAACGAAGAACGTTTGGCAGCACAGAGGATTCCCCTACACTCCTCGACCAGCCAGATCCTCCTGCTTTTCATTCCAGCGCCTCGTCGGCTCCATCCCCTGCCTTCTTACCAGCAGTGCTAATCTCCGGCCAGCTCTCTCAAGATTCAACTCGTCGCTGAAGTCCACATTCTGCAATTATCACCCCTGCCTCACAACAAATCCAACTCTCCTTCCTCCGTGGCGAATTCTCCAAGCAGCCCCTGCCTCATATGTAAACGTTACCACTGCAGTCACGCATATCCGTTTCTCCTTTTCTCTGGTTTTTCCCACGATTACAGACCTGAAGCCGTGATCTGAAAGCTTGTGACAGCACAGTTAAAAGAAACGCTTCCAAATTTCCCGGAACCCTCTGCTGACGTCACCAACACAGCCGTTTTCCAGCCTTGTGCTGCAGTAGCTACAGAGTGGAGAAAGCCAGTCGGTTCGCATAATTTCTGGGACATTAAACAGTTTTATTAAGCCAATTGACATGGGTTCCTCAATGAAAGGGTTCACAGCCATTTAAAACGACCACTTTCACAAAGAAAAAAAAAAAGGGAGGAAAGAAAAAAGAATGAAACGTGAATACGCAAGAACAGAAAGAGAAAAAAAAGCTAAGCTGCCCATGCCTCTGCCTCTCATCTTCCATCGTCTCGTCCCGCTACACATTTGTCTGCATCTCGCTTTCACCGGGCAACGGCAGTCCTTTTCTGCAAACCTGCTGTCAACGGTGTCCAAGTCCAAGCACACCCTTAGGTAGCCATCCTCTTTGTATCCATCGTCGAAAGAATGTGAATCCAGGGAGAGGCCCCCCAGCTCATTGTCTCCTACCTGGCCGCCACCCTTGCCTCCATCTTACACAGCTTCTCCTGGGAGCCCTGCTCGTCACTCACGACAGCCACCACCATGCCCTTCCCCAGGGCGAACACTGGGAGAGTGCTGATCGGGCCTGCCGCGCTACGTCTCCGCCATCTCCAGCCAACCCCCGTACGCCCTGCACATCTCCACAGGCCCGTGCAGGCCATGTCTTTCCCAAGACCAGGACCTGGTGTTCCTAACCATCCATTCTGAACGCCTAGCATCTGAACATTCAGATACTTCTCGTTTTAAAACAATCAGGCTGCTCTCGGCAAATGCACGCTCACTGCCATGTTTGTCGGCCCTG